TATATAATTTCTTAAAAAATTAATTTAAATGTAAAATTTAACTGATTGATGTATTATGAAGTAATGAGGTATATTTTTTGTTGTCTAGATATTAATTAATTTCGTTAAATCATCTTGAAGGGAAATGAAATTATACATAATCTCAGTGATTTATAAATGTTTCAATATATAGATATTGAAAATTATTGTTGAAAGTAGCTCCTTTGGATGTATTTAAGAATTCACATAGAGCTTGAGTTGATCAAAATTTAAGATTATTAGATGGTTGTTAAGAAAGATATAATTATTATTTCCTTAATCTTAATCCTTTCAATAATATCATTCTTTTTTATGATTAATACATCTTTTCAGTCTTTTTAAATATCTAATACTCTTAATATATATAAATTAACAAATAATAATAAAAGGTTATGAAAATATTACCAAGTATAGAGTAATTTAAAAAATCATTCAATCTTTTGTTTTAACTTTGTAATAGTTAAGATTATTTCTAAGATTAATTTTATTTTATAATTCTTGATGTATCTTATTTCTTATCTTTGTTAGTGATTGTATCTTTTCCTATACAACTAAAAACTAAATTTTACAAAATTATTAATTATTTTGTGAAGACTAATCCCTTTTGCAAATAGTAATAAATTAAGTAAATATATCATACAATATCCTAGATTATTTAAAAGGATGTTGCGTTAATGAAGTTTTCTTTAAGTAACTATATCTATCTTTATTTTAATCTCTTCATTTAGCTATCGGTTCTGTGTTTAGATTATTAATTAAAAGTAGTATCATATAAATTTAAATCTCTATCTATAAAAATTGATAACATTTTATAATATCTAAATAAATAATCACTAAACTGATCTTATATTTTAGTAATATTAAATTATATGAAGTATAAAAATGATAGAAATGGAATAAAACTTTAAAAAAATCCTTCCTTGTCTTGCCTTAAAAGTGAATAGAAAGAGTCAAATTAATAAAAACAGAAGTAAAAAAAAATGTTAGATATTGATTGTAATTATAATTGTTTTTTGATAATGATTTAAATCATTTGTTCAATAAGTCTTCTAAAAAGCAACTTCCTTTAGATTTAAATAAAGGTTTTAAATCTTTTCCTTGATTGTTTATAAATTCTCCTTATAAGATAAGTGTACCTGATGCTTCTAATAAAGGATTCTAACAAATTCTAAGTATTGTAAAATCTGGATCAACTAAATAATAATGAATAACAAATACTATTTGGTAATAATGAGCTATTCTAAAGTGTTATTTTAAACTAGGTAAGAATATCTTTATATTTTTTTTCATCGGATGAAATTTTTTTTTCATTTTTTACATCCCATATACGGATAGAGCTGTCATCACTACCAGAAGCTAATGTATTTCCATCAGGAGAGAAACAGACTGAGAAGATAATACTAGTATGACCATCTATTTTGGCTTTTTATTATCCTGTTTTGACATCCCATAGACGGATAGAGTTATCACTACTACCAGAGGCTAATCTATTTCCATCAGGTGAGAAACAAACTGACATAATTTCTCTAGTATGACCATCTAATTTGGCTTTTTATTATCCTGTTTTGACATCCCATATACGGATAGAGCTGTCATCACTACCAGAAGCTAATGTATTTCCATCAGGAGAGAAACAGACTGAGTAGACATTTCCACTATGACCATCTAATTAGGCTTTTTATTATACTGTTTTGACTTCCCATAGACAGATAGAGTAATCATCACTACCAGAAGCTAATGTATTTCCATCAGGAGAGAAACAGACTGAGTAGACAGTTCCACTATAACCATCTAATTTGGCTTTTTATTATCCTGTTTTGACATCCCATAGACGGATAGAGCTGTCATCACTACCAGAAGCTAATGTATTTCCATCAGGAGAGAAACAGACTGAGTTGATAATATTAGTATGACCATCTAATTTGGTATTTAATTATTCTGTTTTGACATCCCATAGACGGATAGAGCAATCACCACTACCAGAAGCTAATGTATTTCCATCAGTAGAAAAGCAGACTAAGTTGTCTTAATACTAATGACAATTTATTATGGCTTTTTATTATCCTGTTTTGACATCCCATAGACGGATAGATTTATCATAACTACAGGAAGCTAATGTATTTTCATCAGGTGAGAAACAGACTGACATAATTTCTCTAGTATGACCATCTAATTTGGCTTTTTATTATCCTGTTTTGACATCCCATAGACGGATAGAGTTATCATCACTACCAGAAGCTAATGTATTTCCATCAGGAGAGAAACAGACTGACTAGACATAACTAGTATGACCATCTAATTTGGCTTTTTATTATCCTGTTTTGACATCCCATAGACGGATAGACTTATCATCACTACCAGAAGCTAATGTATTTCCATCAGGAGAGAAACAGACTGAGTAGACATTATGAGTATGACCATCTAATTTGGCTTTTTATTATCCTGTTTTGACATCCCATAGACGGATAGACTTATCATCACTACCAGAAGCTAATGTATTTCCATCAGGAGAGAAACAGACTGAGTAGACATTATGAGTATGACCATCTAATTTGGCTTTTTATTATCCTGTTTTGACATCCCATAGACGGATAGACTTATCATCACTACCAGAAGCTAATGTATTTCCATCAGGAGAGAAACAGACTGAGTAGACATTATGAGTATGACCATCTAATTTGGCTTTTTATTATCCTGTTTTGACATCCCATAGACGGATAGACTTATCATCACTACCAGAAGCTAATGTATTTCCATCAGGAGAGAAACAGACTGAGTAGACATTATGAGTATGACCATCTAATTTGGCTTTTTATTATCCTGTTTTGACATCCCATAGACGGATAGACTTATCATCACTACCAGAAGCTAATGTATTTCCATCAGGAGAGAAACAGACTGAGTAGACATTATGAGTATGACCATCTAATTTGGCTTTTTATTATCCTGTTTTGACATCCCATAGACGGATAGACTTATCATCACTACCAGAAGCTAATGTATTTCCATCAGGAGAGAAACAGACTGAGTAGACATAACTATTATGACAATTCAATTTGGCTTTTAATTATCCTGTTTTTACATCCCATAGACAGATCGACTTATCTTAACTACCAGAGGCTAATGTATTTCCATCAGGAGAGAAACAGACTGAGTAGACAGTCCTAGTATGACCATCTAATTTGGCTTTTTATTATCCTGTTTTGACATCCCAAAGACGGATCGACTCATCATCACTACCAGAAGCTAAGGTATTTCCATCAGGAGAGAAACAGACTGAGTAGACATAACTATTATGACAATTCAATTTGGCTTTTAATTATCCTGTTTTTACATCCCATAGACAGATCGACTTATCTTAACTACCAGAGGCTAATGTATTTCCATCAGGAGAGAAACAGACTGAGTAGACAGTCCTAGTATGACCATCTAATTTGGCTTTTTATTATCCTGTTTTGACATCCCAAAGACGGATCGACTCATCATCACTACCAGAAGCTAAGGTATTTCCATCAGGAGAGAAACAGACTGAGTAGACATAACTATTATGACAATTCAATTTGGCTTTTAATTATCCTGTTTTTACATCCCATAGACAGATCGACTTATCTTAACTACCAGAGGCTAATGTATTTCCATCAGGAGAGAAACAGACTGAGTAGACAGTCCTAGTATGACCATCTAATTTGGCTTTTTATTATCCTGTTTTGACATCCCAAAGACGGATCGACTCATCATCACTACCAGAAGCTAAGGTATTTCCATCAGGAGAGAAACAGACTGAGTAGACATAACTATTATGACAATTCAATTTGGCTTTTAATTATCCTGTTTTTACATCCCATAGACAGATCGACTTATCTTAACTACCAGAGGCTAATGTATTTCCATCAGGAGAGAAACAGACTGAGTAGACAGTCCTAGTATGACCATCTAATTTGGCTTTTTATTATCCTGTTTTGACATCCCAAAGACGGATCGACTTATCTACACTACCAGAAGCTAATGTATTTCCATCAGTAGAAAAGCAGACTGAGTTGACAGTTTTTGAATGACCGTGTAATATGACTATATCTTTCTTAGTTTTGACATCCAATAAATGGATTGACTTATCCTTACTACCAGAAGCTAATATATTTTCATCAGGAGAAAAACAGACTGAGTAGACATAATGATTATGTTTATTCAATTTGGCTTTTTATTATCCTGTTTTGACATCCCAAAGACGGATCGACTTATCTACACTACCAGAAGCTAATGTATTTCCATCTTTAGAAAAGCAGACTGATATTACAGATCCAGTATGATTATTTAATTTATTTAATTCATGGATTCTTAAATTCTTCCAATTACAATTCAATAATATTGCTTCATTCACATTAATTCCGCTTATGTTGACATTATTAAATTAGGATCCACTAAAATTACACCTAATAAAATTAGCTCCCACTAAAGAAGTATTGTAGATTTTTATATCTTCAAAATTTTTTTTCCTAAGGTCTACCTTCACTTAAACTAACAGATGAAATGAATTAGACCCACATTATATCAAAGTTTCATCAATGGATGTGAGCCGAACTAAAAATTAGAGAAATTCTATGATCCCTCTATTTTTCTTGATGATTTTATTTAGAGTTAATGTAAATTCCTCATTTTCTTCAGAGGAAAAGTCTTTGTTATTGAAGTCATGATCTTTTAAATTTTTTAATACATCTATAATTTATTTCATGTCTTCTCTTACAAGAGACAATTTATCAGCTTGGGTGATATTCCCTACTGATTAGAAAATTTATAATTCTAATTGTTTCTGATTCCCAATATCTGATAGAAATTCAATGCAGTCATAAGCTTTTTCCTTTCTTAATATTTCTAATATGACGCCAAAGATTTTTGTATCTACATCTTTTACTTATTCAAAGATGCCAAATAGAGCTTCTTTCTCTTAAAAAGAGCCCTGCATTTTCTTTTTTTTATTTTTTATTTTGAATTTCTATTACTCAAAGTTTAAGTTATATACTGCAAAATCGATAAAAGTATCCTGTGCATTTTTGTAAAATAGAAGTTAGGACTTTGTGGAGATTTGGAAATGATTGTAATTGAGATAAAATATGCTATAGATGATTCATTTCAACAAACGCATAGCTGGATTTTTTAATTATGTCTAATATTTGCAGGCGATAATGGATAAAGTAAAAAACTAAGAAAAGTTAGGGAGAAGACATTCACTATAGATATAAATTGTAATAATAAAGCTTTATTTAATTAATCTATCATAATATATAATTATAATAATCTTATTATTCTGTTTATCTTGCCAAAGTATAGAAATTAGATATTCTTAAAAATGCTTGAAATTATTCGTTATTAATCCATTCATTTAACAAAATTAATTAATACTTGATTATTGTACTAATTATTTTCTATGTTTATTTATTTTAAGGAATCAAAATTAGTATTTTTTAATTTTTAATTGTTGGTTATATTAAATTATTTTTTTCAAAATCTATAAGATTATCAGATATTATATAAGGAATATTAATTAATTCTTTTTTTCATATAGATTTATTTCTTGTTTATATTATATAGATTTTAAATAATCAATCATTATGTGTTCAATTAAATAGATAGTATTATTTTTTTCTGATTTATTTTTTCCCAATTAATAAATTCAAACGCATTAATTTTAGTCATGTTTGACTTAATTCTATATACACTTAACTTAAATTACTTCGAGAA